CACCTGTGGAGGTTAAGGGGTGTGGTGGAGCACCAGTGGGGGGTTAGTGGTGTGGTGGAGCACCTGTGGGGAGGTTAAGGGTGTGGTGGAGCACCATGGGGGGTTAGTGGTGTGGTGGAGCACCTGTGGGGAGGTTAAGGGGTGTGGTGGAGCACCAGTGGGGGGTTAGTGGTGTGGTGGAGCACCTGTGGGGAGGTTAAGGGGTGTGGTGGAGCACCAGTGGGGGGGTTAGTGGTGTGGTGGAGCACCTGTGGGGAGGTTAAGGGGTGTTGGAGCACCAGTGGGGGGGTTAGTGGTGTGGAGCACCAGTGAGGAGGTTAAGGGGTGTGGTGGAGCACCAGTGGGGGGGGGTTAGTGGTGTGGTGGAGCACCAGTGGGGGGAGGTTAAGGGGTGTGGTGGAGCACCAGTGGGGGGGGGTTAGTGGTGTGGTGGAGCACCAGTGAGGAGGTTAAGGGGTGTGGTGGAGCACCAGTGAGGAGGTTAAGGGGTGTGGTGGAGCACCAGTGGGGGGGGGTTAGTGGTGTGGTGGAGCACCAGTGGGGAGGTTAAGGGTGTGGTGGAGCACCTGTGGGGGGGTTAGTGGTGTGGTGGAGCACATGTGGGGAGTTAAGGGGTGTGGTGGAGCATGTGGTGGAGCACCTGTGGGGAGTTAAGGGGTGTGGTGGAGCACCAGTGGGGGGTTAGTGGTGTGGTGGAGCACCAGTGAGGAGGTTAAGGGGTGTGGAGCACACGGGGAGTGACTGGATGCAGCAACAAAAGAGTACTGATGAAACACAAGACTACACTGAACGAAAATAAACACAACGCATAATGCAGCCCATCCTCTTGTTTTGGTAGTACTTATAGTAACACTGAGGACCATAGTGTACATATATATATATATATATATATATATATATATATATATATATATATATATATATATATATATATATATATATATATATATATACCGACCTACAACGCAATTAGAAAGTAGAAATCGGCACTATTGAGTTGGACAAACCGGAAAACAATTTGTTACTTGTGTTACAAAGACAAACTAACCTAAACCTAACCTACCTATGTCTAATACACGATATCTGAGGCCTAATATAGTACATATGTGTGCTATACTACGCCTAGGAATATTTAAGCTTAGTTTTTAGCATCATTTTCTTTTAAGAATTCTCTAATAGTCAGTATACTACTATCTAAAAGACAAGTACGTATGAATTCGTGACTATTGAAGATCGTCACAATAGGTGGCGATCCTCTAAACAGGAGGATGGGTTGCATATAACAGAATCAAGAAGGAATACATAGGAAATAGGAGAGTAGCCTAGACGCTGCATGCGACTGACGTAGCATCCAAAGCTCAGGACCATGGGGCCTCGTAGCCTGGTGGATAGCGCGCAGGACTCGTAATTCTGTGGCGCGGGTTCGATTCCCGCACGAGGCAGAAACAAACGGGCAAAGTTTCTTTCACCCTAAGTGCCCCTGTTACCTAGCAGTAAATAGGTACCTGGGAGTTAGTCAGCTGTCACGGGCTGCTTCCTGGGGTGTGTGTGTGTGTGGTGTGGAGAAAAAAAAATAGTAGTTAGTAAACAGTTGATTGACAGTTGAGAGGCGGGCCGAAAGAGCAAAGCTCAACCCCCGCAAAACACAACTAGTAAACACCAACCTAAACTCAGGACCACACCACACTGGAGGAGTGAAAGTATAGGAAAAATGATAACGACATATAATTCTAAAAAAAAAAAAGTTTGACCAATAAAGAAACGGTGTTGAAGGTGAGGAGGAGGAAGAGAACGAGCGGATATCTATGGAGATCATGCCAGCCACAGAGATGTGACAACTTTGGCACTAACTCGGAAGTTAGTTATACTTCTGACATATCCAGCTGGCACCAATTATGGAGGTCAATGGAAGTGACGATCGTGAGTTGGCAGTAGCAATGGTACTATTGTGTACATATGTTTGATATATATAGAGAGAGAGAGAGGTATTGAAACAGTGTGAGAGAAAGAGCTAGGGGTAATTATGATAAGAAAGTGCTAAACCAGTAAGATTATATATATATATATATATATATATATATATATATATATATATATATATATATATATATATATATATATATATATGTATGTGTGTGTGTGTGTGTGTGTGTGTGTGTGTGGACAGGGTTCTAGGCTATTTGAAACAACAAGGGACCCTAGAGCTACCAGCTTCCTTTTCCAGCGCCTCAGCGTGGCGATACAGAGGGGAAATGCACACTGCATTCAGGGTTCCTGCCCGCCATCTGAGGAGCTGGAGGAACTCGACAACTTATGATAATCATCTTTATACCATATATGTAACTCCTTTTTTGTAACAAAGTTGAAATAAAACGAATATATATATATATATATATATATATATATATATATATATATATATATATATATATATATATATATATATAATATCGAATATTTAGTCACTATTAAGTAATATTTCATTAAATATTAGCATTGCTAAGGTGGGCATGCTTGGCTGAAGTATTTTCATCACAACTTTGGCACAAGCGTCGTGATTGCTTAGATGTTTGTAAGGGAAGGAGGGAAAGAGGGCGTTGATGAGGGGGGAGGGAGGAGAGGTCAGGAGAGGTCAGGAGAGGCGAGGGGGAAGGAGAATCAAGAGTGCTCAAGAGAATTGAGAGGGAGTCAGGCGGTCGATGAGACGAAGAGTGAAGTCCAACGGTACACAGTACAATGGTGAGGGCCATGGAGGTTACACAGGTGGAGCCAGGTACAGAGGTGAGGGCCATGGAGGTTACACAGGTGGAGCCAGGTACAGAGGTGAGGGCCATGGAGGGTATACAGGTGGAGCCAGGTGCAGAGGTGAGGGCCATGGAGGGTACACAGGTGGAGCCAGGTACAGAGGTGAGGGCCATGGAGGGTACACAGGTGGAGCCAGGTACAGAGGTGAGGGCCATGGAGGGTATACAGGTGGAGCCAGGTGCAGAGGTGAGGGCCATGGAGGTTACACAGGTGGAGCCAGGTACAGGGGTGAGGGTCATGGAGAGTACACAGGTGGAGACAGGTGCAGAGGTGAGGGTCATGGAGAGTACACAGGTGGAGCCAGGTGCAGAGGTGAGGGGCATGGAGGGTACACAAGTGGAGCCAGGTGCAGAGGTGAGGGTCATGGAGGGTACACAGGTGGAGCAAGGTACAGGGGTGAGGGTCATGGAGAGTACACAGGTGGAGACAGGTGCAGAGGTGACGGTCATGGAGAGTACACAGGTGGAGCCAGGTAAACTCAGGTTCTCATATAAGGTAAACTATCTCCAGTAACCCAGACTGTTCTCTCGATTTGCTACTGCGTAAAAAATGCAACTGTTTTGCCTATCCACAAACGTACGCACCCAAGCAACCCACCAAACCTATCGAAGGTGATGCATAAAAAACGCCAATATTAATGTGCATTAATTCTTACTAATACGTCCCATTTTAACCCTTTGCTAGATAAAAAAAAAGCATATTAGTTGAGTCTAGACACTTGACACCAGCTTCTTTGAACTTTGGGACTGTCATAGGCGGTTTGGGGGTCGGCCCCAATGCCCCTCTTTAATGGAGGTGGCTCCCTTGGCCACCCCATGAAGTTTTTTTTTTTTTTTTGAGATATATACAATAGTTGTTACATTCTTGTACAGCCACTAGTACGCGTAGCGTTTCGGGCAGGTCCCTGGAATACGATCCCCTGCCGCGAAGAATCGTTTTTTCAACCAAGTACACATTTTACTGTTGCGTTAAACAGAGGCTACAGTTAAGGAATTGCGCCCAGTAAATCCTCCCCTAATGAATCCTAAAATGACTAAAAATCCTAAAGTGACTAAAAGTCAGTGGAGAACATAAAGTGGTCAGTGAGTGTAGAGAGTTTCGGCATCTGTTAATGTTTACCTGAAAGCCGCTGCTATTCTAGTGGCCTATGACGAGGGCAGGAAGCTGGCGGCTTGTCAAAGGTCCCCCATTTGTCTTCATGATTTTTTCAGCTGGATTTTAAAATTCAACAGTGTTTTGGTATTTACGGCTTCGGCGGGTAGGCGGTTCCTTGGGTTTATAACCTTGTGGGTGAAAAAGCATCTCCTGTTCTCTGTCCAACATTTGTGGCTTGTTGAGCTTGAAACTGTTGCTCCTTGTTTGTGTTACATCTGACCTTTTCAATAATATTACAGCATTCATAAACTGACATGCATAATGCTTGTTCCTACGGCAAATGTGCATTCTGAGGGTTCCGACCAGCACTTAATGGCGCACCCCTTAGGGGACGACCCGGGCACCGCTGGGTAACCCCCCCCCCATCTTATTATATAAATCACTCTCATTTCCTCTCGTATACTAAATTTTGTTCCATTTTAGACTTTGGTGATACATATTTTGATATGTTGACTAATTAGCAAGGTGTAGATAACTCCTCCCCCCCCCCCGCCCACACACACAAGGGTTCGATTTCCAGTTGAGTCAGAATTTCTTTCACCTGCTGCATATGTTCACCTAGCAGTAATTAAGTACCTGGGAGTTAGACAGCTGTTACGGGCTGCATCCTAGGGATATGTGTATGTTTGAGAGAGAGAGAGAGAGAGAGAGAGAGAGAGAGAGAGAGAGAGAGAGAGAGAGAGAGAGAGAGAGAGAGAGAGAGAGAGAGAGAATAAAGGAAAACTGTAGTCAGTACATTAAACAACCGACGGTTTGAAAGACGGGGTGCAAGAGATAACAGCTCGACCCTGCAGGTACATATAAGAAATACACGCACACAGAAACACACACAATACATATACACTCCACAAACGAAATACCATAAGCAATGTGTAGCAGTGACGTTGTCGTAGTGAACATTGTCAACGATTTATTACACAATCAGTTTTTGGACTATCCAATTTCATTTTAAACGAGACAAAAGATGTTTCAAGTAACCGAAGGAATATTTTCTATATAAGATGAAACAATAGTTTATGACTCACATTTTTTCCCCCTAGATTCAGCATGGATGGCAGCCGAGGCCGCCTAGTATGGAGTGGCTGTACTTCACCTGGGTGCTGGCGGCGTGGGCGGCAGCAGGAGGGGGAAGGTGGTGGGGCGCCCATACCCAGCACCTCACCAGCACCGCCTGCCCCAGCTGGGAGGGCAGCCGCTGGTGCCCCTGCTACCACTTCGATGACGGAGTCTTCCTCGAGTGCTCCATGGTCTCCCTGGCCACGGTGGCCAGAGTCGTGGGACTCGTCCAGCACCCGGTTAAATCCCTCAGCGTATATGAGCTGGAAGGCAACGTGACCTCTCTTCCGCCTGGAATCTTCAGCCAGAGTGCCGGGGTTTCCAGCTTGCAGATCTCCCATTCCAGGCTCCAGTATGTCTCTGACGGCAGTTTCCGGGGGCTGGAGGGCTCCCTGCAGAGCTTGACTATCACCTACAGTCATATTTCCACCGTCCCTAAAGCTGCACTTCAAAAGCTTTCCAAACTTAGAGCTTTAGATCTGGAAGCCAACAACATTACTGAACTACAAAGTTACAGTTTTCTCAATATGAACTTGGTCAGTCTGAACCTGAAGGATAATGGTCTCAGACTAATATCAGAATACGCCTTCGACGGCCTGGAAGACACTTTAGAAGAGCTCAATATCATGAACAACAAACTCAAGCAGCTTCCAATACCGGCGTTGACGCGACTCTGTAAACTCCACACGCTGAAGGCCACCTGGAACCACATCTCCGACGTGGTGAGCGACGGTTACTCCAGACTGCCGGCCCTCCAGATGCTGGACCTCAGTAGCAATCACTTCACAGAGCTCTCCAGCAGCAGCCTCGCCACCATGCCTGCCCTCACCTCCCTCTCCCTCTATATGAACCAGATCCTTCATGTGGCTGGCGACAGCTTCATACAGAACTCTGGGTTGCAGACGTTGTATATGAGTCACAATAACATTATGAGCCTCGCTCCGGAGACGTTTACTTACACCATCTTCGTGAGAGTGATTGACCTCGGGGGCAACCACCTTCACTCCATCAGCAACGGCCTCTTCAATAACCTTCCAGACCTTCAAGAAGTGTTCCTAGGCAATAACAACATCCTAAAAATCTCTAACAACACTTTTACTAACTCCAGCAAGATTTCAGTTTTGTATCTCCAAGATAACGAGATCCATTCCATCGAGAGCGGCGCCTTTGTCAACCTGGAACTCTTATTTGATCTCCACCTGAGCTCCAACAACTTGGTGGAGATCCCAGCTAATCTCTTCTCAAATACTCGCATACTAAACTCTTTAAGTTTGGACTATAACAGAATCTCGTCTCTAGCAGTTGCAACATTCTCTCGCCTCTCGGAGCTGAGGGAGCTCAGGCTGCAAAACAACAGGTTGACCAAAATTGAAAGAGGCATCTTCTCCCCGTTGCCCAACCTCCTGGAACTTCACCTACAGGATAACCTAATCAACTTCATTGCCACAGAGGCCTTCTCTTCACTGGGTAAGTTGCAGCACTTAAACTTGGAGGGTAATCGTCTGATTGAACTGCCTGATGCTTTAAGTCAGTTTCCTGCAAATCTGATAACTTTAAAATTTTCTAAGAATTTAATAAATATTATCCACACGGATGCCTTTAGGGGACAAAATAAGCTAGAAATATTTTGGCTTAGTGATAATAACCTCACGAGTGTAGAAGTTGCCTTATTAAGTGATCTATCTTTACTACAAGAACTGTACATGGAGAATAACCAGATCAGCATCATTGAAGACAAGTCCTTCCAAAGCATGAAAAACCTGAAGTTGTTATCACTATCCAACAATATCCTACAACATATCAGCTCAGAATTATTTGAGGGTCTCGTATCTCTTGAGAGACTTTATATAGACAATAACAAAGTCACTGACATAAAGCCACACTCTTTCGAGAACATGAGAAAACTTCGGGAGCTAGATTTATCCAACAATCAGATTCTTGTCGTACGACGAAACATGTTTGAAGGGAACCTCCCGCTACAGACACTAAGCCTAGAGGGATCCATGATTAGTGAGATCGATCCTAACGCCTTCAGCAGCCTTCGGCAGCTAGAGGAGCTCAACCTCCGACGCAACATGCTGGCTCACCTCAACAAGCTGTACATTAACGTGCATAGCCTCAGGAATCTTAATCTTGCTGACAACAAGTTTGAGATCGTCGAAGAAGACTGTCTCTACAGCTCACCCAACATCGACACACTTGATCTCAGTGGCTGTGGCTTCTTTAGGCTTCCGCCTCACTTACTGGCTGAAGCGACGGAACTTAGGTCACTAAACTTAGCCAGAAACAACTTCAGAGATCTGAAACCTGTGTTTTTCCGGAAATTAAGAAAATTGAGAGATCTGAATCTATCGTTGAATAACTTGAACTATACTATAATGGCTTCCTTGGGGGGACTCCATGAGCTCGAGGTACTCAGACTAAATGGAAATCCTTTAGGTGAACTGAGGGAGCCTGTGCACGAGATGATAAGTCTTCAGGAGCTCCATCTATCTGAAACACACTTAAAGAGGATGGATAACACTGTTTTCAACAGATTCAAACAACTAAAATCTCTCGATCTGTCAAACAACCGCCTGTTGGAGCTCATTCCTGGAATCTTCGAAGGTCTATGCATTGAAAAGCTTAGCCTAGCCGACAATTTGTTCACCCAAATCCCCAACGCCATGTTTTTGGATGGCATGATGGGTCTGCGGGCGCTCAATATGTCAGGTAACCCACTGAGGCGGGTGACGGGAACTCTTGTTTCCGGCGGTCCTCCTCTGATGGGTCTCGAAGAACTGGAAGCTGAGAGAACCAACTTGACGATGTTGACAAGCCACGACCTGCAGCTGACGCCCGCCCTGCGCTCGCTCAACCTAGCACAGGCCTCCATCTCCAACATTTCACCTGGAACCTTCAGAAACCTAACTCACCTCACGGACCTCAACCTCGCCCTCAACTGCTTGCAGGTACTGCCGAGGGAGCGGCTTAGAGGCCTCAAGTCACTCTCTTTCCTTAACCTGACGGGCAACACCCTCAAGAAGCTTGAACAGCTGCCTCCAGGAGCACATTCAATCAAGGCAAGTCTCATTTAATAATTGCATAGATAATTAATAAATAACTGCATCATATATGTTCACATTAAAGATCTTGACCATGACCTCTTACAGGTCCTTGATATCTCTGGCAACATGCTGACGGGGTTGACGCAGGCCACCTTCAAGCACGGAGCCTCCATCGAGGTCCTTCTCCTTGGGTCCAACTGGATCACTTCTATCCACCAGCGAGCCTTTGCTCCATTGGTTCATCTCCAGCACTTGGATCTCTCCAACAATTACCTGGAGGGGCTGGAAACAGCGACACTAGAACCCATAGAAAGGAATCTGGAAACGCTGCAGCTTGGGGGGAATCCTTTGATATGTGGGTGTGGGGTGAAGGATCTGTGGGCGTGGCTTCAGGATCACCTATCTTACATACCAGACCCTTCCTCCATCGTCTGCAGTCTTCCAAAGGTGAGGCTTCTCATGGAGATATATTTACCCACTTTAGACTCGGCATCCAGCAGTGAGTTTTTAAAGAAAAATTTTCATATGTATTATTCCAGCCTTCGTTGGATATTATTCCAATCCAACTTTTGTATAATTTTATCCTCTCTTCTTTGACTCCTTGTCCACAGAGGTGTATCCACAGAGAGGTGTAGCACACCACACACACACTGCACACACACCACACACTTGACACACACACACACACACACACACACACGAACACTAACAGTATATCTGTTTCAAGGTTATATGACAGTAAGAGTGCTGGGAAGACGGGACTTGGTGTAGCCTCCCTGTAGGTTAGGTACTTACACACAAGCCACACACCACACACACACACACACACAAACTACACACACACACACACACACACACACACACACACACACACACACACACACACACACACACACACACACACACACACACACACACACACACACGCACACACTTCAAGTTTCAAAGCGTTATATGACAACAAAGAGTGCTGGGAAGACGGGACACCACGAGCGTAGCTCTCATCCTGTAACTACACTTAGGTAATTACACACACACACACACACACACACACACACACAGGGGAGGAGGGGCCTCGTAGCCTGGTGGATAGCGCGCAGGACTCGTAATTCTGTGGCGCGGGTTCGATTCCCGCACGAGGCAGAAACAAATGGGCAAAGTTTCTTTCACCCTAAGTGCCCCTGTTACCTAGCAGTAAATAGGTACCTGGGAGTTAGTCAGCTGTCACGGGCTGCTTCCTGGTGTGTGTGTGTGTGTGTGGGTGTGTGTGTGTGGTGTGGGAAAAAAAAAAAAAAAGTAGTTAGTAAACAGTTGACTGACAGTTGAGAGGCGGGCCGAAAGAGCAAAGCTCAACCCCCGCAAAAACACAACTAGTAAACACACACACACACACACACCTCCCCGGCCAGGCGGCCAGGCAATACACCCGTGTTATTTAAACCACAACCCATTCACCAACTCAGTTTTTAGATAAGGTTGAGGAAAGCGGAGATTGACATAACTAGATTTAAAACATAAATATATAGTGATTTACATTAGGATGACTTATCAAGCCAACAGTGCCCAGTGGTGCCCTTAACAAACACAATACCCAGTGGTGGCATCGAACACGTTTGCACAGCTAAATGTGTCCAACAGAAAAGCATAAAAAATATTTACTACAAGCATTTAAATTTACATTGTGCTCTATAGTGCATGATTCTAGAGCAAATAGGCCTACCTTAACACAAAGACACCGTTCTTGCCAGAGTATCACACAGCCTACTGTCATTCACACAATATCCAATAAAATACAGTCAAAATTAATACAACATGTGTGTGTTTGGTGGGACACAAGGCTACTCGGGAAAGACAGGCGCCATCCCGCCAAACACACGTTCGAAACTGCCACCTTGCTACACACTTTCGAACAAGGTTTAACAACATAAAAAAATTTTAACATTAAAAGACGTTGGTACATCTTATTACAAGTTGTAACAAGGGAATTATAAGGACAGATACGGTCATTGTGTGTTGGCGTGGCTGCTAACCTCCGACCTCCGTCTCCTCCTGCAGTTGGTGAGCGGACAGTCGTTCCTGCTGCTGTCGGCGGCGTCGTTCTGCCCTCAGCCGCTGATCGTGCGCTTGGCTGTACAGGACATCCAGAGCCACTCCCTCCTCGTCTCCTGGCAGGCCACCAACATCTCCACCATCTACGGCTTTAAGGTCACTTCTCGCCTTCTCTTGCCGATTTATTATCTTTATTGACAAAAATTAATTACAATTTTGCCTAATCTGAGGAATTCAATGAGTCTCATTAGAGTGAGGATAATGCTGGCATTCACTGTCGCACAGGACAGAGAGTGGGAGTGTGAGAGTGGTGGCTGGGAGTGGGCAAACTAACATGCATCAGAAAACTCTTTACCCCTGAAGGATTCGAACCCAGACAATCAGGGCTCCATTCAAGCCCTGGGGACAGCTTGCAGACCATTCAAGCTTGACCCCAAATTATACTAATGTGGCCCCAGTATGATGAAGTGATTTGATGGCATATATGTGCCCAAAATAGTCACCGAGAGTTGTTGGGAATTGGGTTAAGGGTCAGTCGACTTCCAATTCTTTGGAACAGTCAGTGTGGTCTAGCGGTAACAGTACTGGACACGCCAAGGGGCATGAAGCCGTGGCTGTCTGGGTTTGAATCCTTCAGGGGTAAAGAGTTCTCTGATGCCACATATATGCAACAACTTCCTACGGCTCCACCCTCAACAGTTGGGGTGTGTGAGAGAAGCTCCTGGCGGCCGTACACCATTCCCACCATTTTTTTTTTTGAGGGTGAATTGAAACCCATCTTTGGGAAGGTGGTACGCGGGCTATATACGCTTTTCACATCCAATGAACCAAATGGTGTATGTGTGTGGATCCCCGCCAGCGAATGGTTGGGGCGTCCGTGTACACACACACACACACACACACACACACACACACACACACACACACACACACACACACACACACACACACACACACACACACACACACACACAGGTATACCAAACATAACTAATATGCCACAATGTGACACATGACCCAAAATAATGTCCTACCTACACATCATATCTTCAGCCACGTTATTGTGACTCATCGTGTACACGTGCCATGACATAATGTGATATACATCCACTCGTCTCCCTCCCCCACGGTGAATATCTTCCTCCCTGCACCTCCAGGTGTCCTTCAGAGAGACCACTGGAGATGGGCAGGTGATTGGTGGACTCAAGACCCAGAACCTGCCAGCTACGCCGAAGACCCACCTCCTGAAGGGTCTGCGGCCCACCACCGACTACCTGGTGTGTGTGGAGGGCCTGGCGGCGGCCCCCACCACCCCGGCCACCAGCAGGGCCACTCTCAACCACAACCATCAACTCAACCAACACACGCAGAACGTCTATATCAACCAGCCGGTGAGTAGTGGTATGTGTGGAGGGGGAGGATATAGTGGTAGTAGTCATAGTGATGGATATGGAGGCAGCAACAGTGATATGGTTGATACCTGGTTGGTACCTGGTTGATGGGGTTCTGGGAGTTCTTCTACTCTCCAAGCCCGGCCCGAGGCCAGGCTTGACTTGTGAGAGTTTGGTCCACCAGGCTGTTGCTTGGAGCGGCCCGCAGGCCCGTAGTGGTGATAGGTAATAACATCACCTCTACAGTAATTACCTTCATAAAGTTCTAATATCGGCAATAGATCTAATGGGGGAAATGGTCAATTATAAACTAACATTGTTAGAGACTCGTGCCAATAGGCTCCAAGACCCTATAGACGCCTGGCCAAAGTTTGCACTTAGGTTCCTGAAGGAGGTGGGTGAGGAACTCTTTAATCAAGCCAAGAGCGACCCAAGAGCGGCCAGTTTCCTGCTCCAGCGCCTCAGTGTCGCGAACCAGAGAGGAACTGCCAGCTGTAACTTGGACACGCACCCCTCACCTTCTGTGGTTGATTGTTCAATAAACCCTTGAACTATATGTTTAACACATCTCTAACCCTGTCCATGGAGGACAGAGGAAAATGTATATATGTTGGTTAGCATTGTAAATGTGTGGCCACGTCTGTGGTAGAAAATAATAATAAAAAAAACTTCTGCAGAGCTTGATGAGGTTTTCGACCAGTGATTGCCCGAAACGCTTCGCGTATTTGTAGCTTACTAAACCATCTCTTACTTCGAGATGGTTTCGGGGCTTAGCGTCCCCGCGGCCCGGTCCTCGACCAGGCCTTCCTGGTCTTCCCAAGGAATTCTACACTTCTTGTATCCTATGCATGTACTGTTGTGTAAATGTATTATTTTTATTATTATTATTACAATATATGTTTTCCATAAACTGTAACAGAATGTAATACAAGAAATTAATATATATATATATATATATATATATATATATATATATATATATATATATATATATATATATATATATATGTGTGTGTGTGTGTGTGTGTGTGAGAAAGCTGCAGGAACCTCATTGTACCTGCAGTGAATAACAATAATACAATGAACAACCTCATTGTACTCAAAACGACTGTGGGATGTATTATGAGAAGTGAACCCGAACACCTGGTGCATATATGACAGGATTCACCACCTTCATATATATCCTTCTCGTCTCCTTCCCCCTTTAAGCAACAAAGAATTCCAGGAAATGAGAATTTATATAAGGTCAAGATTAGGCCTCAAAGCTCCTTTTGACGTAAATAAGAACTTGAAAGATTGTAATAAAGCTGAGGAAGATAATGGTAAATCTGAGGAGGATAATAATATCTGTGGAAGCCGCTGATGTAGGCTTTGGACCGGCTGCTGCCTGGTAAAACAGCCGGATGTAATTATGGCGAGCCGCTGAGTTATGTACCCTGATGTGTCTTCCAGGTGAGGGGGTGGGGGTGGGGGGGTGTCAGGGAGAATGAGGGAGCAGTGCCGAGGGGATGGGGAGTGCCAGGGGTGTGTGTGTGTGTGGGAGGGGGTGCCAGAGGGAGGTGTGTGAGCGGGGAGGGTGTCAGGGGTGCCACACAGGGGGTCTAGACACCGCCAACCTTCCTACAACTATTGATATCCAATACATTTTCATGGTATTTTTTGTTTTCATGATTCTTAGGCTGGACCTACCATGCTATAGTTGTGTGCAACTGTTTCTCCCCCCCTGGGTGTATCTGTCTCATTGTCCGCATCTGTCTACTCGTATCCCAGTGTGTGTATGTGTCTCCGGCATGTGTCTCAGCAGGCTACTATGTCTCTCTCTCTCTCCCCCACCAGGACATGGCGACCAAGTGTCTGCGGGTGAAGACGCAGGAGCCACCTCCACCGGAGATAGTGCTCAACAACCGCCTGGCCATCGTCATCGGGGCGTCGCTCGGCATCACCATATTCTTCGTGGCCGGAGCCATCATCTGCTGCTGCCAGATGTGCAAGGACAGGAGGGAGGCGGCCAAGCGAGACACCGCCCCGCCTGGTCAGGACTACCTCTCCTACAGGCAGTTCTCCGTCCAGGGCACCGAGGCCACCACGACCGTCGCCGCCGCCCCCCGCGAGGAACACACCGAGTGCTAGTTAGGGTAGGGAGGCTAGCGGACGAAGAAGGGATGATGAGCGCTTCTTAGGGATAATGATGTTGGCGAAATTGTTGAGGAATGTTAATAAGCGAGGCTAGAAAGGATAGGGGGAGGCAGCCTTCTCAAGGGATAGCACAAACAGCGACTGTGGGAGGACATATATATATATATATATATATATATATATATATATATATATATATATATATATATATATATATATATATATACAAAATTGAACTGTGTATCATCTGAAAACCTATATTCTATACCTTCGGAGTTTTAAATCCCAGCAACAACCTAATCTAACTTCTCCTAGGCCTAATACAGGCCAATCTTGAACCTAATGCAGAACAGATATGTGCAATATTAGCTCCCAAGAGAGGGTTAGAATAGGGTGTTGCATTCCCAATTGAAGGTGCAGTCGCTAAGGTAGCAGAATATGTCCTTGTTGCTCTAAACGGGTGTCAAGGTCAAGAGTGTATGTCCCATAAGATGAATCTAAAGGTCAAGTCTCAAGAGGTTAACAGGTTATTATGTCTTTGAGATTGTTAACAGGTTTGTTTGTTATTCCGTTGGTCAAAGTTTTAATGTCAAAGTTTATTCAGCAGATTTATAAAGTAAATATATATATATATAATAGTTTATCTGAAAAGTACAATGGAAATAAAGAAAAGGAAAATATATTGCACTGTACATATCAATATTTCAGCAACCAGGCCTAGAGTGTAGTGACATCAGTAAGGACACGCCAGAGGTTTCTGATTGTAGTGACATCAGTAAGGACACGCCAGAGGTTTCTGATTGTATAATACAGCATTTCCGAGCGAGGAAAGCTTGTCTGCAGTGTGAACAAGATTGTTTGTAGGTCCTCACGGTGTTACAGACCGTTAGCGTTTCTTGTCTTGTCTGTCTGTCTGTCTGGGCACTCTTCATCTCACTGATAGACGATAGCAGTTGCACTTGTTATCTAAATGTACTGTGTTTAGGTCAAATTACTCAGAGATCACAGGGTCAGCTAATCAGAAGATATAGATCACAAGGTCAAGTAACCAGAGGTGTTATCTCAAGGTCAGATAATCAGAACAGCTCATTGGGTCAGATAATCAGAACAGCTCACTGGGTCAGAAAATCAGAACAGTTCACTGGGTCAAATAATCTGAAGGTAGATCACAAGTTCAGTTAATGAGAAGATAGCTCAAAGGGTCTACTAATCAGAAGGTACACGGCAAGATCAACTAATCAGAAGGTAGCTCACAGGGGCATCTAATCAGAAGGTAGCTCACAGGGGCATCTAATCAGAAGGTAGCTCACAGGGGCATCTAATCAGAAGGTAGCTCACAGGGGCATCTAATCAGAAGGTAGCTCACAGGGGCATCTAATCAGAAGGTAGCTCACAGGGGCATCTAATCAGAAGGTAGCTCACAGGGGCATCTAATCAGAAGGTAGCTCACAGGGGCATCTAATCAGAAGGTAGCTCACAGGGGCATCTAATCAGAAGGTAGCTCACAGGGGCATCTAATCAGAAGGTAGCTCACAGGGGCATCTAATCAGAAGGTAGCTCACAGGGGCATCTAATCAGAAGTGTCATCACAGGGGTCAACTAATCAGAAGGCAGGTCATAGGATCACCTAATTAAAAGAGAGTTCACAGGTTCAGTTAAAAGTGATCACAAGGTCAATTAATCAATAGGGTGATCACAACGTCAACTAATCAAAAGGTAGATCACAGGATCAACCAATCAGAAAGGGGATCACAGGATCAACCAATCAGAAGAGGGATCACAGGATTAATCAATCAGATGGGGGATCACAGGATCAACCAATCAGAAGAGGGATCACAGGATTAATCAATCAGATGGGGGATCACAGGATCAACCAATCAGAAGGGGGATCACAGGATCAACCAATCAGAAGGGAGATCACAGGTTCAACCAATCAGATGGGGGATCACAGGATCAACTAATCAGAATGGAGATCACTGGATCAACCAATCAGATAGGGGATCACAGGATTAACCAATCAGCAAGGAGATCACATGCTCATCATCTCTTGTGAGAGATCATGAATGCTCAATCGGAAGGAAGATCACAGGATCAACCAATCAGAAAGATCACAGGATCAACCAATCAAAAGGGAGATCACTGGATCAACAATCAGATGGGAGATCACAGGATTAACCAATCAGAAGGGAGATCACAGGGTCAGATGAGTGGTAAGATATAAAATACAATCCTCGATTTCGTGAGCAATCCTAGAACACTGAACAGATTTACTTAACAAAAAATTGTACCACTTACGGGCTATTCATGCCCGTGCCACCTCTTGGGTGGCTTAATCTTTATCAATAAATCAATCGTGAGCAACAAATCCGATATATGCTTACAGGATTAATACGATCAGAGAAATCCCCACAAACCATGGTGTTTCTGGAAAAAGAAATCCATGGAAAATTATGGGAGCAACAAAGTTTAAACTTGCACAAATGTTTCGGTATCTACCTTTAAATAACAGTCTATCGTCTATCGATTCGGTCTATCGTCAATCGATTCGGATTATCGTCAACAGCCCGAATCAAAATATCCTATCAGTAAAGGTCTATTATTAACTCCCTATCTTTAATAGCCTATCGGTGATATGCTATTGGTAATAGCCAAGCTGGTAATTGCTCATCCACGATACCTAACCAATCGCTAACAGACTATAGGTAACCAATCCAACCAATCACAAGTCTATATAGGCTATCATTAACTGGATATGAATTGATGATACAATATTATAGATCGCGTAGCAAATGTCCGAAGTGTGTTTACAAAACGCGGGATTATGGCGGCACTAAATTCAAATTCAAATTCTTTATTCAGGAAAATAGTTGATTTACAAACATAAAGTTGGATTTATAGATAAAGCTATTACATACTAGCTAGTACATACATACTAAACAACATTGTTTTAACACAATATGGCGGGTTCAGTTTTCCTGAAATATTGCGTGTTTGGGTGACGCATGTGTGTGTGTGTGTGTGTGTGTGTGTGTGTGTGTGTGTGTGTGTGTGTGTGTGTGTGTGTGTGTGTGTGTGTGTGTGTGTGTGTGTGTGTGGATTTGTCGGCGTCTGACTTAACACTTGCCTGGGGGACGCTTATGGAAAGTCAGAGAAAGGGTCCAAGGAGAGTCGTGCTTTGCCGTGGGACGTCGTTGAAAGTCAACGGAAGTCGTGGAAAATGAGGGAGAGTGACGGGAAGTCGTCACCAACGCCGGCAACGTTCTACCAACGCTCCATCAACGCCTCCAACACGCCACCAACGCCTCCAATGCTCCACCAACACTTACAATGCTCCGCCAACGCCTACAATGCTCCACCAACACTTTACCAATGCTTCACCAACGCTCCACCAACGCCTCCAACGCTCCACCAACGCCTCCAACGCCTACAATGCTCCACCAACACTTTACCAATGCTTCACCAACGCCTCCAACGCTCCACCAACGCCTCCAACGCTCCACCAACGCCTCCAACGCTCCACCAACGCCTCCAACGCTCCACCAATGCCTCCAACGCTCCACCAACGCCTCCCGCATCTCAGCCCCTGAACATACACGATTCATATTGACTTTCCTTTAGGATATCCAAAACAAAAGGTCAGAGTCAATGATACACCTGCATTGGGAGAGGGGAAGTGAGGGGAGAGGAAAGAAAAGGAAGGGCAGCCCCAGCAAGGGCGATGAGAGAGAGAGAGAGAGAGAGAGAGAGAGAGAGAGAGAGAGAGAGAGAGAGAGAGAGAGAGAGAGAGCCTACACAACACGCACGCGCACTCTTTCTCTCTCTCTTTCGCTCGCGAGAACATACATGTCATGGAAGGCCTGATAGCTGAGTGGACAGGGCTCTGTACTCGTAATCCTAGAGTCCGGGTTCGATCCCCGGTGATAGAATGAAACAAAATGGGCAGAGTTTCTTTCACCCTGATGGCCCTGTTGCCTAGCAGTAAATAGGTACCTGGGAGTTAGACAGCTGTTACGGGCTGCTTCCTGGGCGTGTGTGTGGAAGAAAAAAATAGTAGTTAGTAACAGTTGATTGACAGTTGAGAGGCGGGCCGAAAGAGCAGAGTTCGACCAGTGCAAGCACAACTGGGTGAATACATACGTGAATACGCCTACACACTCACACACACACCCGCACCCCCCCCCACACACACACACACCCGCAACCTCCCCCCTCCCCACACACACACACCCGCACCCCCCCCCACACACACACACCCGCAACCCCCCCCCCCCCACACACACACACACCCGCATCCCCCCCCCCCCACACACACACACACACACACCCGCACACCCCCCCCCCCCCCCCCCCACACACACACACACCAGGTAAAGACAATAAATCAGGGGAAGTACTCCGAGGTGAAGGACACACGGTAATGACCCTTGCGACCCGCCGCACAAGGTCGAGTATTGCACAACTGGACAAAGCCCGGGAGAGAAAGGCCGAAAGTTCCAAGCGAACCACTGAAAGATAACCCTTGTCTCTCCCCTCAACACGGTCGAGTATTAAATATATCTTGATATATGACGTTTATCGTGGTAAGAGAAGTAAACAAAAAAAACTGGAGGAACGATTTGCCACTCCGTAAAAAATGCAACTGTCTTGCCAATCCACAAACGTAAAAAATGACAATAGTTTTGCCTGACCAGAAACGCACGAACTCGTCCGTTAACTTATTGACGCCGATACATAGAAAACGTCAATATTACGTTACTTAAAATTTGTACTAATGCGTTGGAGTTTTAACGAATACGTTTAGTCCATTGAGAATGCGACATATTAGTTGTGACTTGACTAGTGTCGTTGTCAACACATGCAAATAAAAAAAATATACGACAGGTGTTTGTCGTATACCAAGATTGAAAAAATATAAACAAAACATGATTTCGTGGCTGTTATGGAGCAGCCTCGCGTATCCACCAATTAGATTACCGCATAAAACTACAAAAGTATACAAAATCCCCGCCAAAAGGTGATCATTTTTAGGACTTGTTGATTCAAACAAATTATTTAATTGCGACTCAACCCTCTAATAGACTCATCGTAATTCTAAAACGTTTAAGCAGGGCAAATTCACGAGCCCTGGTGATGGGCTGACTTTATGGGTAGGGTAGTGTTGTCCTTCTGACTCCCTCCCCCTTCCCTTGCCTCCTGCCCCTTTCCCTGCCTCCTGCTCCTTTCCCTGCCCCTTTCCCCGCCTCCTGTCCCTTCCCCCTCTGACTCTCCCTCTCCTACTGACTCCCTCCTCCCCAACACTGGAGGAGGGAGCATCCCGTGTACAGAATCAATGCTCCCTCCCTCCCTCTCTCCCACATCGGCAATCATTCACAAAACTCTTGTGCGGGAGATATCGCTTTTACCTGGCTGCATTGAACGTCAGGGTGTATATATATAGCTTTTTATGGATTCACTGCATATCTGGTCAGAACTTGATTTTGCAAACTTCTCTTAGGGTATTGTTTCATCCGGCTGCAGTGTTAGGGTGTTTCATCCGGCTACAGTGTTAGGGTGTTGTTTCATCCGGCTGCAGTGTTAGGGTGTTTCATCCGGCTACAGTGTTAGGGTGTTGTTTCATCCGGCTGCAGTGTTAGGG